AGCGTAGGAACGACATGGAACAAAAACTGAGGTCTTCTCGCAGTTTTTGTCGCACAACGAAAAAATAAGCTCGCAAAGACGTTTTACAGAACGCCAAACTTTTTACACTATAATTATGGAGAGGATATAATGGAACCAAGCAATTCGTGTAAGTGTCAACTTACCTATGTTGGCTGAATCCCTCCCTTCCTCCACTAACCCTTACAAAACACAACTGACTTTGTTTTTCTGGTCCCGTACCACTCTACTTATTACGTAATTTAGTCCTGGAAATCTTTCTTTGATCGTGCATAGTCTACTTTTAAAAAGTCACCATCCCGTGTATTATGCTACTGGTGTTGTAGTTTTAAGATGCCTCTGCATTAAACCTAAAAGGGTCCCTTCATCGTGCTTAAATAATTACTAAAAGACAAGGACACAATTGTGGAAATAACAATTAACGTAGAAACTCTAACCTTAATGTACTGTTACAAATATGGACTGCGCATGAACAATTTGTGCACTTAAAAATTACCTTTTAACGAGGAAAATTCAGAAGAAAATTTGTTCATGTTCGTCAAGGGAGGCTGTGATGGTGTATAAATCTTTGGATTGCCTTGCACCTGATTACATGTCTTTAAAATTCATACTACGCAACGATTTATTTAATTCTTATAACCTTAGAGATTCTGAAAACAAGCTTGCAGTTCCCTTGCCACGAACCAATTACTATAGATATAGCTTCTGCTACAGCGGGGCTGTTCTGTGGAACAATTTGCCCACTGATGTAAGACAAGCAAAATCTTTGACTGTCTTTCGGAAGCTGTTAACTTCTAGCTCGAACATGGCATTAATGGCAAACAGGCTTTAATTTTGTAAATTAATTTTATTTAGTTAGTTATTTCAACATTCATCTTTGTAAATGCTATTACCGTTACTTCTATAGTTTGTAAACATTTTTGGGATATTGTATATTGTATATTTATCTTGATTGTTCTTACCGTGTATAAATAAAAGTGATGATGATGATGATGACTACACTAGCTGCGATTAAACTGGTTGACTTATTGTTGTTGTCATGAAATAGGCAGTTATAACAATTAACCTTGTTCTTGCAGATATCTGTACAACAACAAAATCGAACAGCTTCCACCTGGGATATTTTCCAATCTATCTGAGCTACAATACTTGTAAGTTTGTGTTTTTTTTGTATTGTCTGCTGTCCGTTATCAAGACTACAACACTAGTATGCGCAAGCAGCCACGAATATAAGTTTCCGTACGGGTAACCTTCACTTCGCGGCTTGCTATTTACACCAGCAGTGCAACACGAACAGATGTGGGTAGTACACCTTACAAAGTCTTTTTTTCTATTATTTACCAATTACGAATAACAAGAGTAGAAATATTATTTTGCGAAGACTCAAATTGAGCGAAATAGCACAGTTGAACTTTTAGTTGCTTTTAGTTCCTTCTACTCGGCCACCTGTAAAATACCCTCCTTCGTTGCTGTTGAAATATTAGGCTGATTTAGCAACGGAGCGGGAACGCCATTTGACGACGGGAGAGCGCGGGGAAAGGACTAAATTCGACTTCTGGTGCGCAATTTGCAGCTCTGCCATTGATCAAGCCAGTTGTTTGATTTGCGCGCGCAGTCGTCAATTGACGTTCCCGTTCTGTTGGTAAATCAGTCTATTAGAATATTGGAGCAGGAGACTAGAAAGTGCTCATGAATCCTGTTAGTAGTAAACGGATTTTGCCTATTATAGTTTGAAAACAAGGTATAAACGTCTTTTACACTCCAAACCGATAAAATAGATTAAGACTAACAGAAAAATATCATTCGAGATAAGTTTTAACAAGTATTTTGATGGCGTTTCAACCTAAGGGATGATGACTTAATTTTAGCCGATGCAAACGTATATGTCGCTCGTGTGATTCCTTCTACTGGCTACAACAAAACCAGAGAAAATATTAGTGACTGCAATGTTAATTTACAATAAAAATTACCAAGAAAATGGGATACATGTGAGACTTTTGCGAACTGACCCTACGTGCCTAAATCGGCTAACATCAGTCCATGTTTAATGAATAGATAATTGTACCTCATAAGTCCAAAAACTTCCAACATCCCCACCTGTTTTAACTTGAAAGTTAGCTGCCCTGTTTCCTGTCCATATGGAAAAGGTTTTAACAAAGCATAAGGTCTACACGTAACAGATTAAAACAACAAAGGAGATGCTTTGGAGCGGTATCAACAGTTTTTTTTTCCGAAACGAATTAAAAAAGTTACAAATTGGTCGAGCTTATTGCAGTTTGAATAACAACAGAATCAGGACGACCGCATCATGTCGTCTTTACTTGAGGGCTTATAATATCTTGCCATTTTTCTTGTAACAGTCTCCTTGTACAAAGCAAATTTTTGAATTTTGTGTTTACTTCCCATAAAATAAAAAAAGGAGATTAATAAAGGCAACCCTGCCCCTGCTGTCCTTACTACTTTCTGTTCAATGTAAACTTCATTATCATCCTTACTGTAAACCATAGGAAATACGAAAAGACCACCTAAATCAATTCGTAGCTTTGGAAAGGAAAAGCGTGCCCAGCAACGGTTCCATCGCCACACCATCTTTTTTTCTGTCAATTTATGCACTTGAGGTATCAGATTCCAACCAGGCAATATATAATCATCTAGATTGGCCCCTAAATTAAAGCTAAGGAAATCTTTTCTTGTTAAATGCCGCTTGAACTTTCTAAGTATTAACAAAAAGAAAGGCTGCATGTTCTCCTTCACTAAATTTACATCCTCTACAGTTTCAAACCTTTGATAAAAATCAGTGGTTAAGTGTCTGTAATACTCCTGCTTGTGCCCTGACTTTGTATTCAAAGACCAAGCAGGCTTTTTATCGTTCTCTCGTAACACGTAATTGTCATCCCTAGACTATTTTCACTTAATAATTAATTGACGCATCGTGAAACGACTAGTAAAATACCTCTCTGTGCTTAGGGACGCATCACTGCACTGCAGGCTCCCCTTACAAATATAATACACCACGTGGCTTTGATTTCACTGTGTCACAGCTCCGACCGCCGAGACGACTTATCAAGGTTCGCCCCACCCTCCTCTCCTGGTGTTGGTTGACAACTCCTCACATCTCGCGATCTATTCTTGCCGCCTACCTCTTTCCGCAACAATCCGCGGATCTCTCCCCCATAACTTAGTTATACAATGTGTTAAGTGGTAAACAGTGAGGATGTAGTACTATGTTGAGCATTTAGCAGGCAGGAAGAGAAACGAGAAAGACTAAGTTGAGGACAAATGTAAAATTGAAAACTTAACACTTAACACATCGTGAAACTAAGTTATGGGAGAGAGATCCGCCCCTCGCCATTCCCTGAGGCAGTCTGCTATAACCTAGGTCTCCGTCCTTCCCCAAAAAGCACATCCGATACTCCATAACTCAATAAAGATTCAGTTATTAACTAACAACAAGTTAATATCCAATAGAATGACATAAATAACGACCGTCAGCTGCTGCCACCGTAGTGTACTAGAATGAATGTCCCTCAGTCATGAAAGATACAATTCAACTATACGAAATTCTCTGCGAATTCTCTTGGTCGGAGAGTTGCAGGGCGGGCGGAGAGCCCGCAGAAGTGAGATTAAGTGTAACCCGTTCTATCAAGAGAGGATAAAGCGGACAGAGAAGGCATCCTCCATACACACCCTATTCCATAGGTAATTCGTCTCGAGTTATTTTTAGAATTGGCATAAAGTTACCTCGCGCGCTGCGTGGATGTTTCGTGGAGGTTTCGCATGACTAAACGCCGTGCAAAACAAGTCGGGCGAAAGGCAATGAAAGCGTAAAGAGATCGAGAGCATTCCTGAATATTGAAGCGAAATGAGCCGGTGCTCACCTGGGAAAAGGGAATCGCTGGACTCTTTGACAACCCGTGAAATCAGTTTAACTCGAAGTTGTCTTGACCTCAGTGCTTTAATAAAATGAGTAATTTCGTCGGTCTATTGAAACCGGTCGTTTGTACAATAAAGCAAGTAGGACGCCAAGTGTTATTTTTGTTGAATAATAAAAGACTAATAAAAGAATAAATATCAAACCAGAAATTGCTCTCTTCAAACTGTAAATTATAAATGATCCGGAGAGAATATTCAGCGTTAAGGATTTCCCTGCTGTACTGTTAGCTCTATACAAGAGAGGAAGGGCGATTCTTTTTTAATTTCCGTTTCGCTGACACAGCTTTAGCAAAAATCTCTCTGTAGTCGTTCTCGTCGACAAAACGAATAACAATATCGCTCACCGCGTCTTCCGCCATTTTGTTCTGCGTCAATTCGTGAAGGACGTGTGGCTCTGAGCGTGGGTCATCCACGCGGAACACATTCGCGCTATGTGATTGGCTGTTGTCTAATCTCCCTTGAGATCTGTGGTGTTAAAAATACTTCGAGACGAATTACCTATGGAACAGGGTGTGTATGGGGGATGCCTTCTCTGTCCCCTTTATTCTCTCTTGGTTCTATCAACTGCAAAGAAGTAGAAGCACTGGGGCGGCGCGTGTAATACGAGGCAATTTCTGTGCTCCGCCAACCTACGTACTGGGCAATCTGCTCCGGAGTACAACCCAAACCTTTAAGGGTGTATGAAATCCTTACACGAAAGCAGTGAAGGGTCTCTCCTTCAGTAATGCTCGCGACCTTAAGATACTTTTAGAGTCGTGCAGATACGGCTGACCCTCTAAACGGACGATGTGACACAAACTTTTTATGTTCCGAGGATCTAAAGAGTTTCTCACTCAGAAGAGGGACACCAAACGCCCCACATGCGGCAATATAATAGTTCAGCCAAAAAACCAGGCAGACAGATACATTTGGTATACGTAACAGAGCAAAAGGGGCGTAACTGACCTGTACACCTCGTTTTACTAAACGTTAAGTTAAGAAGGAACCCCTCCCTATCCTTAAGGCGAAAACGCTCATCTGCCTTTAAACGGCCCAAACCGGATGCTCTATCACCGGTGTAAAAGTCTGTAACAAAGAAAGTTATATCTCAGCACAGAGCCTTCGGCAATAAGCCCGCGAAGATAGGCAATTAAACGGGTGAATTTGTCATAGAACAAAGGGACAGCCTGACAAGGTTACAAAGGTCGCTGAGCTTTCTCCTCTCTTACAAACATAATATATTCTTTAACACAAGGATGTGCTAAAAAGTTAGAAAACCCCGTACGGCCTAACCTATTGAAAATCGATATAAGGTTCTCTATATATGAATCGACAGTTCCGGCCGCTAGACGCTTACGGCAACTACAGGTCTTACTAGAGCATGAGCGTATATGGAGTTTTTGTTTTCCCGCGGCATCCATGCTAATCAAAAACTTTACGATGTCTTCCGCGATCGCAGCAGAAAATTTCTTTGGGGGTACAAGACAGCGCAAGAAACTCGATAGCTGAACTTCTAATGAATCCTCTTGCCGTTCATAAAGTTTGTTTCAGAGCCATTCTTGGAATTCTGTAAAGCGCTTAAAAGTTGATCAGAGGCATGTCTGCATTTGAACGGGCCCCTTGCGTTGGCTCAGGCGACTTAAGTTTACCGCAGGCTTGGCAAACGTTCGCGTCACTGTCGTTTAAATCAGAGCAGGCGGGACATCTGTAGGCAGGCTCCCATGTGCGTTCGATCTATATACACAGCTTAACAGGAGCAGATACAACGAAAAGCGCACAGATCCCATAGTAAGGCCTACAATCATGGACAAAAGTCTTGGAACACTTTTTGCATTTCTGGGGCGTTTTCCAATTCACACAGGTCCAACCCCTCCCTCACCCCACAAACAATGTTGGACGCGTGTATCCAGAATTTTTCCGAGTTTCAACTTTGTAGAGGGTGGGGGGGGGAGAACTGCAACAAAATTTCGAAAACGCTGAACTGTTTAAAGAGGGAACCGAGAAATAACAGAAAAATATGAATATTGCAATACTATCACAAGGACTTTTGTCCAACATTGTCTGAATCCTTGTTTTTTTTTTTTTTAAAAAGTCTGTTTTCTTCCCTCTTTCTATGCTTTTTAGGCATTTTGGAGACAAGTAGATGATCACATGAAATAATAATGACCTTTGAAAGTATTTCCTCAACATTGCAAGTTTTACAGGGCAATTCCCTGATTAGCCATATCGGGCCCACCCTCCCAAACTGGAGCCCAGTACAGCGGAAGTTGGTCAGGCACAATGTTTCGAGCATCGTGCACAGTACCCGGTCGCAAAAGCACAGTGTATTATCAATATTCGCTAAAAATTCATTCACGGCTAAGGTATATTTCAACCAAAACGTAATTGCATTTGAAATAATCTTAGTCAAAAAGGCCATCCCGTAAAGTGAACACAATAGTACTCACTTCATCCAGTAAGGAAAAATTATCTTGTTCTTCTTTCTCTTCATTTCAAAGTGAGTACTGTGACTAAAGAGCTAAAAATTGCGTTTTGGCTGTAAATAAAAGCGTCAAATGATGAACCTACAGATAAACTTTCTGTCACCATCCCCAAGATGTTAAGATTGTATAGGAAAAGCACACTTTATTAAGTTTTTAGAGTGAGTACTGTTGGTTCGTACTCTCCAGCCATGGAAATCAGTTCGAAGTAAACTCGCTTGGTTGTTTACTTAGTTCGTGACAGATATCACGCAACGTAATTTTTGATGGCAAATAAACACATATACATATTAGCAACACTTTCAAACCAAAAATGATCCTGTACAATTCTCTACAAGACAGCGCAAAACTGTTTTGCCACGAACCTGAGACGTATTATGAAACAACCGCTTTTTTCTTACATCACAATTGCATGTATTTTCGTTTTGTATAAATAACAGGGACAGCTATTCACATGGCTCAATATTTTTTCACGTCCGTTCAGTCTTTTGGAATACGTTGTTACTTTCTCTACAAAGCCTAACTGGATTTTTTGACGTTCGTGCTCATTGAGTACCAGATAAATGACCTCGTGCTTTGTCGTATATCCACGACTCTAGTTCTTTGGCCTGCCGAAATTCTTACTGTGTACACCATAATGTTAGTAACTCGTTGCTTCCCTTAACCGTTTTCTGAGGTGAGTCTTGTTTAAAGTTATGTTACCCTTTAAAATAAAGCACGCGTTATGAGATTCCACAATTTCTGGTGTATATCATTGCTGTTGAGCGAATTCTTAAATCAAGTTCAGAAAACTCCGAAAAGCTAGGAAAAGATTTGTTCAATTAAGATCTTTCATCAGGATCCCGAAAAAACACTTTTACAGGCCTGAAAACCCCTCAAAATTGCCTTATATTCTTCCTATGTCTTTTTCATACAATCATGGACAAAAGTCTTGGGACACTTTTGCATTTCTGGGTGTTTTCCAATTCACACAGGTCCAACCCCTCCCCTCACACCACAAACAATGTTGGATGTATGTATCCAGAATTCTTTTCCGAGTTTCAACTTTGTATAGGGTGGGGGGAGGGACAACTGCAAGAAAATTTAGAAAACGCTGCACTGCCACGCCTCTTTGGGGACTGAGTCGAAACTCTGATGTTGCCGGCATTTTTTCGTGAAAATTTCTCGGCTACATATAATGCACATTAGTGCCTTGCGTTGGACAGAGTTTCACCAAAATCGCAAAGACCCAATTTCAAGGAAAAAAACTGCGAATTTTTAAGATTATGCTTTTTTCGTGAGGACTCATAAACGCTGGCAAACGTCAACAACTGGCTAAAAATATAATTCCTATATGTTTGCATTGCTCCAAATCGCTCGCATTTACAAGGCCCTAAAGCTTTTTGCTGACTTGCAAGGACCCATCTGTTATGAAGATCCCCAAAACAAAAGGATAAATCTCAGAGTTTATTAGATATAATCGTGTAAAGTTCGCTTATCATTTTCACATAAATTATGACCTACATTTAAAACTGAAACCGCTGAATTTCTCGCATTGGGTCTTTGCGATTTTGGTGAAACTCTGTTCAACGCAAGGCACCAATGCACACTATATGTAGCCGATAGATTTTCACGAAAAAAATGCCGGCAACAGCAGAATTTCGACTCAGTCCCCAAAGAGGCGTGGCACTATAACCACGTGACATTTACTCCGATCGCCGAGAATTTTATGCTGTATTGTAAATTGATCTATATGTTATCCAAGCTATATGTTAGACTTAGGATCAAAGTAAAGGTGGGGATACTAGGGAGCTTCAAAGTAGGATGGTACCCCCACAAAATAACTGGGTTGAGTCACCTTAACTAATGGCAATGAAGGAGATTTCGGGAAAAAAGAAATTGGCGGAACAGCAGAGTCATAACGTTTTCCTTTGAAGTTGCCCTTGAAATGACGGAAGAAACTATCAACTCTCACTCCCTCTCGGATTGTATGTAGCAAATTAACTTGAGAACAAGTGCAACCAGTTGAAAAGATGAGATCCTCCCAGAAATCAACATGATTATGTAAACTGCCCGCTTGGAAATAATCTGGGTGTCTAAAACGCAATTGGGCCAGGTCAGCGAGGGATGGATCTTTTACTCACAAGCGCCGCCTATACAGTGGGGCCAAAAAATAAGGGTTCCTTTCTTTTTGTCACACCATTTGACGTCAGGGCTCGGGAACGCAATGACTGCCCGTAGTGCAACCGCGAAATCCTGGCAAAACAGAGAACAAAACTATAAAAATAAGAAAATAAAGAAA